GAGCAGTTAGGGATGATCAGGCAGGCAGGTATAGGGGTTAGGGGTGATCAGGCAGGCAGGCAGATGGTTAGAAGCAATCAGGCAGGTATGCAGAGTGGTTAGGGCGATCAGGCAGGCAGGTAGGTGAGCGGTTAGGAGCCAGCGGTCCCCGATTGCGAGAGGGTGCAGGTCGGGCTGAGGGACCCCCTCCACCCCCTTGCACGAATTTCGTGCACTGGGCCTCTAGTATAAACATAAAACCCATATATTGATACATATATGATGTCACATTGATCTTAGCAAACTATTTCTTTGGGGGGAGGGTAGAACATTATTTACATTTAGAAAATTATTGATTAGTTTTTGTTTCTTTGACGAAGCTTCCTGGTCAATTAAAAATTCCACCTAAAGGAAATACTGCCAAGATTGACTTACACGTGTATGGATATTTAAATGTAGAGCTAGTACCAGTTTAATACCTTTTATCTTTAAATGCTAATTTCTCCAATTGGCTTCTCCAAATTATATCATCCTCTGTTTTATTGAAGAACATCAGCTTCACCTTCCTTAAAAAAAAAACAGCAACAACTCAAAAAGAACTATTTCAATTACATTTAAAATATGCATGAATCAATCTAAAAGTAAACTAGCAAAAATGTTTTTTTAGTGCAATTAGGTAACTAAAAGAATCAAAATAAAAGAGAATTATGTTTATAATTAGCTAGGACTTGAGGAGGCAGAGTTAAGAAATGAATGAGGAAATGAGAACATGTCTATTAAGGTCTACTGAGGAATCAAACAATTTAGAATACCTTGTACTAATCTAACAGCTTCATGAGGGATAGTAATTAAAGATAAAATTACATACCTGAGACTGGATATATTGGTCAAAGCATAATTCAGTATTTTAACCATTGGTGTGAAGCCTGTTCCAGCTGCCAATAAAAAGAGATCTTCCAATTCTTGGAACTGGGATATTTTAAAATTGCCTTCAGGATTGCTTACGGAAACAAAATCTCCTAAATTATAAAATATAAACTAAATCAGAAAAAAAAAAAAAGCAGGGAAACTGAGAAGGCTACACCTAGCTGAATTTAGAACACTGGTGAGTCACAGGATGAATGCTTAGCTTTCAGACTCCATCTTAGTATTTAAGGTAGTATGTAAGGAGTTTTAAGAGTATTCATTAGGCCCCCAAGTATGTCTGGATTATATCACTATAATCAAATTAATAATCATGTTTTATTTCACTCATTTAATTACACAATTAATTTCCCAAACCATCTGGACTCTAATTAAGTACTACTGCCAAGTACTTAAGTACAAATTACCAATAAATACAGGCTCTACATAGATTGCTAAATTAAATTATAAGCACCTAAAAAGCAGAGTCCATGTCTCCCTGTCTTGCACAGTACAGGGTAGAGAAAAGATATTTCTACTTACATATTGATTCTTTTTTTTTTTTAATCCTCACCAGAGGACATGTTTATTGATTTCAGAGAGAGAGGAAGAGAAATACCGATGTGAGACAGAAACATCAATTGGTTGCCTCCTGTAATTGCCCCGACTGGGATCAAACCTGCAATCTAGGTATGTGCCCTGACTAGGAATTGAACCCACAACCTTTTTGAGGTACAAGATGATGCTCCAACCAACTGAGCTACCTGGCTGGGCTACATATTGATTCTTAACCATAGTAATAAGATTAGTAGGAGAGAAAATTGAAGTAAAAATGTATTGTAAAATCTTTTGTTAGTAAATGTGCTGACTTCACTTCCATCAAATCTTTTAAAAGACTAATGGATTAAAGCAAGAAGAGTTTGTTCTTAATTCACTTCTATAAAAACAAAGCAAGTTCAGAAACTGTACTTGGAGCATGTTACTTCACAATATAGAATCAAAATAGCTGAGAAAAACTATTTTCTGAAATGCAGTTGAAATAACCACTATGTACCACTCATATAAGAGAATTGCCTTTAGGACATTTCAGAAATTTTCAATGTAATTTGAAAAATAAAAAATAAAGCTGTCCATATTTAAAAAAACAATTTGAATTTTTAAATGCTGGATGTTCGTAATTTTTCCTTTCTTTTCCATAGCAGGATAGTAAGAATCTTGCAGTAATTGATTGTTAGAAGTAAAAGAGCTCCTTGTTATAGTTTGAAAGGGACCATAAGGTCAGAATATCCCTGGGATATTACTAAAAAAGCCTCAAAGAATGATATGATACCAACTTGGTAACTTCTGTCCACAGTCCAACATCATAACACTGATTAGACTTGGGCAATGTACCTCTTGCTAATCAAGTTCACAAGAAATTCAAGTACACATGCCAGAAAGGTCACTGACTTCCAGTCAGGCTATCTGCATCCACTCACCTGAAAATTACCCACCCCATTTAGGGCATCTCATTCATTTGACATTTGAAAGGCCAAAACAATCATATAAAAGTTGCTTGGTGAACATAGGATTGAACAAAGTGGATAACATTATAGTGCACTTTGTTTGGGACATAATGAGGCTGCAGTTATCACTACCATGGCAGCATACATGCCTCTAAGTGAAACAAGTGTGCGTGCCATGTCTAGCTCTAGCTCTGTGGATAGAGGTGAAAACACACTGATCCTGAGCTGCAGGCTTTCCTTTTTCATGTTCTAGGGCCTCATCTAGAGGCTCACTCTCCACCTTGCTCTGCTCACTCAAGCTCTAAAACAGGCTACAATACCGCTGCTTGTTTCCACTTGCTGTATTACAATCACGTGTCAGTCCTTCACAAAATAGATACCTTCACTAGATTTGTGGATATTCCAAAATTCTTTAGGTTCACATTTTTAGTCAATATTTTGATTTATGTAACCCAAGATGACTAATCACATCATTGCATAAATATTTCTAAGCTTAACTTTCAAAAAACAATGTAATTTTCTTTATTTCCAAATTTTCGTGATCTACCTCACTGTTACTCCACTGCACTGTTAATACTGCCTTAAAAAGGGGAAGAACACTTGTACTGTTAGGCTCAGGCAGTGAAAAACTGAAGACACAGAAAAAGGAGTAAAAGCAGATAGTCTCTAAACCTTAATCAATTTCATTATAGTCTTTTTAGTCATTCTTTCAAAGTATATTTATTGGGAGCCTTTTATGTGCCAAGTGCCATGCTAGGTGCAGGAAATACAAAGATAAATAAGACACTCTCCCTTTAAACTCAAAGTCTTGTAAAGAAGAAATATTATTTATTCTTATCCTAGAGTTATGAACAACGTGTCAGGATTTGCAGGGGTTCAGAGGAGGAGGGAATGTTCATAGAAGTGATATTTTTGTTTGGTTCTTTAAAAAGGGCACTTTATAGATAGAGACAGGGTTGTTGGGCATCCTAGGTGAGGCAACTCAGAGGTGAGGTACCTATGAGTGAGTATGCCAGGCTTGTGGAACTCTGAATAGCACCAGGATCTGTACACTGAGAGATGAAGCTAGAAAGATCATGAAAATATTTGTAGGTCACGCAGGGGACTTACTCAGTTAGATAATGGAGACTCAGCAGAGGCTTTAAAGCTGCAGAGCAAAATGGTTAAATCTATTCTCAGGGCAGTTTGGAAAAAGAACTGGAAAATTCAGATAAACAGAAAGAGAAAGACCCCAGTTAGAGGCAACTGAGAGAGACCAGTTAGAGGCCAAGAGAGAAATGATGAAGGCTTGATCTAAGAGGGTGGCTGAAGGGACAGAAAAGATTAGAAAGTCACGGGGAGGTAGACTCAATAGAACACAGTACCTGACTGGATTGGGAGGAATAAAATGGGAAGACTCAAAGCTGGCTCAAATCTCCAGACTGGGTCAAGAATGAACAGTGAGTGATGTTGCAAATAATAGAGATGAGTATGGAGTAATGATAGGTTGGGTGGGACAAAGAGAACATGATTTTGGTTGCAGACATGTTGAGTTTAAGACATTTGATAGACTCCCAGATGGAGATAACTAGAGGGCAGTATAACATGTGATCTAACCCAGAACACAAATGGGGTAAACAAACAAACAAAAAAAACAAACATAAAATACTAACCAATCTGAAGATGATCAAGCTCTGGTGTAAAGAGTCCAGCAGGATAGATTTTGATCAGAAAGTAGATGTATTTATTATTGGGAATAACTGGTTCCTTAAACTCTGAGAGTAAGGAAGCAGATACAGGTGTATATGGCTTCACTATTTCAGTACCTAGAAAAAGTCATGACAAAGAAATTCAATTCTAAAAATCTAAAAAGCTCTGAATGAAGATAAAACACACAAATTTTATGATGCAATCAATCAGCCTATATTAAAAACTGTACTCCTAATGTTTATATAGTTCTATGGTCTATATGTGTATAGTACAGATAGATATATACCCCGGGTTAATGTGAGCTGAAATAATTTTAACAAATCAATATTTTATCTATAATATAAACAATCTGTTTTTATTAAGTGTGACATACAATTGGGATTTATGTTAATAAACTCAGACAATCATCTCTTCTATCAGCATATAAACTTTGTAATAAGCCACAACAAAAATGGCATAAAAAGTTTACACAGAGACTTAAGTAGGTACTGACATAATAATTTTAATTATACATAAGTTTTTTGCAATGGTTACTGATCATTTATTTGGGTTTGAGAAAGGCAAGAATTTCACATTTTACTTTATACATTTAAAATTGTTTTAATGTTTAATATAGTATATACTGCTTTGGTAACTGGATGAAAAGAATATTAATCCAACTACTTTAAAGAATAGTTTTTTAAAAGGGTAAATGTTAATATTTCATGTTATAATAAAAGTGTAATATGCTAATTAGACTGGACGACCTTCCAGATGAAGCCCGGGTCGCAGGTGCCTGCCAACGGCTGGAGGGAAGCCCGGGTCCTGGGTGCCAGAGGGAAGCTGGTGCCGACAGCCGGGGGAAGGAAGGCCTACTCTTGCACGAATTTCATGCATTGGGCCTCTAGTTTCATGTTATATTTTAGCTGGCCAAATTCCAAAGAGAGGGGAATCATCACAAATTTGCAAGAGCACAATACTACACATGGCTGCTTGACGTATACAAAATGAATGTATACACTGCACTGAGGAAGATACCAGTTATTGGATGATGACCTGGCATTAGATGATGAAGAGAGAGACTTCATAGTGTCATCATAACCGACCACCTCCACCACAGCCTGGCTGGGAGTCTGTTAGATTGATGGCTGGAAACACCTTGACTGACATGAGAATGTTACATTTTGCAGCTTCAAAAAGCCAAGAAAATGTTACATATCAGTAAGAAGGGTATTTAAAACAAATAAATGAGGTAATTTTAGGATGAAAAGGAGAGAAAAAGAATTCACACAGTAAGGAATTTACAGATCTTTTTATACTGGTGGCACAGATAAGGACATCATTTATAATCATTCACTCATCTTGAAATCTTATAAATTCAACTTTGTAAATGACAAGACTGCAAGTGGCTTTTAGAGATGCTGGTATGTTTGCAGGAGTTGTCTTCACGAGGGGCATTTGTGCACTCCCGCACCTCTTTCCTCTAAGGCAACGGTTCTCAACCTGTGGGTCGAGACCCCTTTGGCGGTCGAACGACCCTTTCACAGGGGTCGCTTAAGACCATCCTGCATATCAGATATTTACATTACGATTCATAACAGTAGCAACATTACAGTTATGAAGTAGCAACGAAAATAATTTTATGGTTGGGTCACAACATGAGGAACTGTATTTAAAGGGCCAGAAGGTTGAGAACCACTGCTCTAAGGCTTTGTTAGTAATAAATGACGGTGCTGGTGGAACCATCTCTGTGACTAGTGGCAGTTTCTTTGTTCCATGCAATACTACGGCATGGCTGTGGTTCCAACATGCAGGAGCACTAGAATCTGGCCATCCCTAAATCCAGCTGCCCCCAAACACTTAATAATCATCTCCATGGGTGCTTTCTAAAGAGATTAGTGCTGTTTTAGAACAGCTAATAAAAAAAGAAACTGTTCCTCCAAAGGCTCTACTTGCCTTACCTGCAATAGTTAGCTTGAGGTAAACATGTTGCCCAATTGGCACCTGAAGGTGAGTGCTTGGTGGCAGCATCAAGCAGAAAAGCTTCGTATCATGAGTGGCATCTTCCTTGGAAATTAACTGGCACCTTCTGTAGTACAAACCTAAAAAGTGATTCATTTTCTCTTATTAATGAATAAGTTAAGTAAGAATAATACTAGACCCATTAAGTGAAAGCACAAACTCAGCTTTTGCTCTTTGATTGAGCTGAATTTCACTAAAAGACCTATGTTTTTAAAATTTATCAGTACTTTGAAAATTGTCTAGTGTTAACTTTTTTCCATTTTATTTCCTGAGATATCTATTTTTCAAAACCTATGAAAACTTCTATAATTTGAAAATAAACTTTATAAAATAAATGAGTATTATATTCCTCATGTCTATTATAGCATGTTAAAATTACATTCTAAGTAATTAAAACCTAATTTATTTCTTCTTAAATTCACTCTTTTTTATAATTCTATTTTAAAGCCTTATATTAACAAGTTATATAAATAGTAGATGTGAAAAATATTTGACAAGCAACAAATTTACATTCTAAATTCTTTTCTTACAGAATGGAAAAGTTCTGAGACTCAACTACTGAAACTTTAACAATATTAGCACTACTAAATACCTTTAGAAATATTTCTTTGATAAAGACTGGAAAAATATACATTCCTGTGTCTCTATGTTTGTACTATACATATGTATATTATACACACACACACACACACACACACACACACACACTCTAGGGGCCCAGTGCACAAATTTGTGCACCTTGAAAGGAACTGTGGGCTGTGAGGCTGCGGTGGGCACAGAGGTGGGTCTCGGTCCATCCTCCGTGCCCCCGCCCAGCCCCTCCTGCCGTGGCCCCCAGTCCCTGTCTGCCAGCAGCTCTGCTCCTGCCACCACTGCTGCTCCCACTCCCTGATGGCGCCAGCCCCCACTGACAGCGCAGAGCGACTGGGGCTGGTGCCAGCAGCAGGTGTGAGCGGGGCTGGAGCCATCAGTGGGTGAGAGTGGGGCTGGCGCCATGAGCAGGTACGAGCGGGGCCATCGCTGGCAGCGAGTGCGAGCGGCAGCTGCAGGCCCCTATCACCCCTCAGGAGCAGGGGGAGGTGGAGAAGCCCTGAGGGGCAATCTGGGCCAGCAGCTGCTGCTCACACCCGCTGATGGTGCCGAGCGATCGGGGCTGGTGCCAGGCACCAGCAGCGGATGCGAGTGGGGCCAACACCAGCAGCAGGTGCAAGCACCTGGTGCGACCATGGTGCACAGGAACAAAGAATTTTCAGTAACCACCAAAGGCTCGCCCCGATGACAGCTACTGGCGCCCAGCTTAGGTCTGGCACCCCTGCTCACCTGCTTCACCATCCCACTGTGGCCGATGCCTACCATGTTCCACGTGCGCCCCCTGGTGGTCAGCGCACGTCATAGCGACCAGATGTGGGGTTGTTCGGTTGTTCAGTTATTCTATTCAACTATTTAACTATACTAATTTCAACATCTTTCCTACAAAAGGCTGCTATCATTTCAAAAGAACATCCTAACTAAAGATTTTAAAAGTTTTAAGAAAAATTTAAGAAAGTTTTTCTATTTCAATTGGACTGAGGACAGAGAAAGCTATAGCTGACACAATATGAGGAAAAAGGAGTAGAAATCAGATGTGCTGGCTATTGCAGTCTGGACAATGCCATTATTTAAGTTTAAGTGTCAGGTTTTTGGCTTTGTAAGCATAGACAATTACACAAGAAAATGTCAAAGTAAATTCTAAATTTGACATGAGAAGACACTGCATTAAAAGTATTCAACTTATATGTATGTTTATTTTCAAACTAAAATTCCTTTAGCTAAGAAATTTCAGGAGGAGGAAGCCAGTATACTAATCAATAATTTAAGTTATCTACACTGAAAACCTAAGAACCATGTGATGGACTAAACGTTTCAAGATACTGACATCAAGTTAATCATAATACTTAGATGATATAAATATTCAGCTTTGCTACAGTGAATAAAATAATCTACAGCCTGGCCGGTGTGGCTCAGTGGTTGAGTGTCAACCTATGAACCAGGAAGTCACAATTACGGGGTATGCAGGATGCAGCCAATAGATGATTCTCTCACCATTGATGTTTCTCTCTCTCTCTCCTTCCCCTTCCTCCCTGAAATCAATGAAAATATATTTATTAAAAAATATAAATTTAAGAATAATGAAATGCCATAACATAATTCAAAATGATTCCTTTTTAAAAAAATCTATAGCTTTTATTCTGGTTTAAGAAGGGAAAGAAAAAATAAGAATTATCTTTGTTAATTTAGTCACATATATGAAAATATCCCCTAAACTTTGAGTCATTTAACAAAGTAGAAAACCTAATTTGCTGAAAAATACATGCCTGGCTCCAATTTCAGACAAGAAAGCTAAAGCTACCTATGGTGGTTCATACCTCAAGGAGAAATGTATGGCTGGGATAAAGAGTTCATGGAAAGCCTTGGGAAATTACTGAGAAGAATAACTGGGCAATATTCATCCTAACTATTTCCAAATGGAGGTCAGCCTTGGTTCTCAATATCATTTATTTCTTGAACTTGGCTTTTATTAGGGCAAGAGATTTCATTTTCATAATATCTGTTTTCATTTTATTGTCTTTCACCTAATCTCTTCGGGTCTGTTAGATCATACTGTTATTCCTTGACATTCTCTCTCCCTACCTAATACCTCCTGCTCTGGTAAAATGAATCTATTTAACCATTCCCACACAAGGCTTACTCTTCCCCCCCTTCTAAAAACCCGCAAAATACCTAGCACAGTAAGTACCAGTAACAACAATTTGAAGCTCTACCTGGGAAGACTTTCATAGTTGTTGTAATTATTTTTGAAAGCTACTTTCAAAACACTGCTTGAAATCCACCTTCTTCAGTGAGTCATTCAAGGTCAAATTCATCTGCATCTGTTCCCTTGAGATTACCTCAGAATATGCTCTATTTGTACTATATAATGTGCCCTTATCAGCCTGTTTCATTATAAGAGTATTCTTTCAAAAAATTTTTAGAGAGAGGGAGACATCAATTTGTTGTTCCACTTATTTAGGCATTCATTGGCTGATTCTTGTATATGCCCTGATTGGGGATCAAACCCACAAGCTTGGCATATCAAGATAATGTTTTAACCAACTGAGCCACCCAGCAGGGCAAAAAGTATTCTTCAATCTCATATTTTGTGTACAATTTTCCTCTACCTGAGAAAATAATTTCTGATGCCTTTGTTTCATAACACAGTACCTAAAAGAGCCTTCAACACATAGTAAGTTCTTAAAATATGGCTACCTGGTACTTTTCTAAAAATTAAAATATTATCCACAATCATCTATGATAATAAAAGCATAATATGCTAATTAGACCAGACGACCTTCTGGACGGAGCCGGGGCTTCGAGGGAAGCCCGGGTCCCGGGTACCAGAGAGAAGCCAGTGCAGGCAGCCGGGGGAAGGAAGGCCTACTCTTGCATGAATTTCACGCATTGGGCCTCTAGTATTTTTATAATTTTAAATAGTTAAAGATGGTAAACTGAATACATGCAGTTAGTTCCCTCTAACTCCCCCACATCCCAAATAAAAGCAAAGATGTTGTGCGTGTGTGTTTGGTTGTTTTTTTTCAGGCATAAACCTGCAAGGATAGAAGAATGAAAATTTTAAGTAGCAACAAAACTTTGCGAGCTGAGAAGCCAAAGGGATGATTGATAACTGACGTGGCAGAGTCAATAAAGCTAAATCCTAAACTAGAGGAGTACAGAATGTTAAGAATCAACAACCCATTTGTAAAACAAGATCCCTTTAAGGCTCAGAAATTGGCAGGACCAAATACCTCTGGATCAGAGGGAAGGCAGACCTAGAACCACTTTCTGGATAGAAAGTTCATTTAAGAAGCTTAGATGCCCTCCCACCCTCAACTTTCCTGAAGTCCTTCCCTATTTAGCATAGCCACATAACTGAACCTCTCTTATTCTGGCAAAGCATGTGAAGCTTGCTCTCCAGAGAGGGTAGAACATAGGACCCCTGAATTTGGGCTTATGTTATAGGCCAAACTGTGTCTCCTTCAATTTTCATATGCTAAAGTCATAACCCCAGTTCCTCGGAATGTCACTGTATTTAGACACAGAAAAAGAAAATTACGTAAGTTTACAGGCACCTAGCATTTTTCCCCCACGTGACTTCTGAATTGTTGGGTGCAAGGTAGGAGAATGTTCACTCTGGAGACGCTAACAAAATAATGGCATCAGACTTTCCCAAAGAAATGATCAGCCATACAGTGAAAATGTTACTGTCAACAAGTCACACCTATATGCACAGTTTCATATCAGCTTTTAGAGTTCCACCCTGAAATATGAGCAGGTAGTCAAGGATAAACAGACATTCAAAGAAAGCATCTAATATTAAAAACAAAACAAAACAAAAAAACCCACAAGTTTTCTTTTATAAGTGTGGCTCAACTGGTTGAGCATCATCCCATGCACGGAAGGGTTGCTGGTTTAATTCCCGGTCATGGCACACACCCAGGCTGCGGGTTCCATCCCCCTAACCTAGTGCATATGGGAGGCAACTGGTGTCTCTCTCTCTCTCTCTCTCTCTCTCTCTCTCTCTTCCCCGTACTCTCTCTCAAATCAATAGAATATTAAAAAACAAAGAAACTTTGAGGACACAGAGATTTCACAGAGAACAAAAAACCATTATGGTAAATTTAAAAAACATAAGAGAAGCTAATTAGAATAGCATACTAAAACAAAGAATCAAAAATCAAAAGGTCTTAGCGTTAAAAATATGAGAATAGAAATAAATAATTCAATAAAAGAGCTGGAAGTCACAGCTGAAAAAATCTCCCACAAAGTAGAACAAAAGGACTAAACTGAAAATAAGAGAGAAAAGGTAAGATGATTAAAGGACTGGTTAAGGAGGTTTAAAAAAAAAAAAAAAGAATACTTCTAGAAAGACAAAACAGACCATGTAGAAGAAAAATCAGGGTCGTTAAGTTTCCATAACAAGGATTAGCACAAAAGGATGGATATCCTGCCCAAAGAATGAAGAGAGATCCATACTAAGGCATATCAAGTTGTGAAACTTCTAAACATTTGGAACAAGGAGCCAATTCTACCAATTTCCCGAGAGAAAATATAGTGTGTTGACTCTGAAAATTCATTAAGTAGAACATAAATATGAACTCTTTTCTATAAATACGTTATACTAAGATAAATGCTTAAAAAATAAAGGAAGAAAGGAAGTGAATGAAGAAATGAGATGAAGAAAGGAAATGATTTACATCCTTTAGGAGTAAACTGAAAAACTGGTTTAGTAAGCAGAAAAACAATAAACATGCCTTTTTTAATAGAAAAAAATGAGCATACAAGGCATAAACTTAAACTTGTTTTGGCACCTTTTATAAAAATAAACCTGAAAAAGTGAATGGTTGGGCAGCATTCTAAACACAAGTGGCTTCTCCATTAGGTATCATTACCTAATGACTTCATGTTATGTCTAAACATTAGACAGTAGAATCTGAAATTTAATCTGTTAAAAAAAAAGGTGTTCCATTTCAACTTTTTTTTTCCTTTTTATTGAATTTATTGGGGTGACAACGATTAACAAAATTATAAGGGTTTCAGGTGCACGTCATCTGTACACTGTATTGTGTGTTCACCACCCCAAGTCAAATCTCCGTCCATCACCATATATCCCCCCATAACTTCCTACACCACTCACCCTCACTCCTCCAGCAATCACCTCACTGTTGTCCATATCCAAGAGTTTTTTTTTGCTCAATCCTTCCACACACCCCGCCCCCATTTCAAATAGGAGATAGAAGCAAAAGCTCACCCAAAGTGGCCTTTCACACTCTGAAACAAATGTGCCAACACAACAATTTCTTAAACACAGGACTCAAAATAACAGCACAGCATACCTGTATCTTTCTTTGGAATAAGTGAATTATGATTCTCCAGGGGATGACCAAGACATTCCCAAGAAGTATTCTCTTTTTTCTTTAGGACAATCTCTATCTTTCCCACATTTGCAACAACCCGCACTGAAAAGAATATAAATTTTATTTTAAAACCAATCTTTCTCAAACAATCCAAATGTCTCAATCTGTATGAATGATACTGATAATTAGTAAAATAAATAAGATTTTGTACACATATTCATCAAAACTTTTATACCTTATATAATGTTAGATGCTCAACCACTGAGCACCACTGGCCAGACAAGTTTAATTTATTTTAAATTTAGATTAACTTCTTTCAAGCTAATTCATCAAGGACCAAACTAATATGTACTGCTAATTTCCATACAAGCTCAAATATAGCCATGGCAACTACTTAACATCTATAAAAAAGGAGAGGGCTGATATATACAACCAGCCACTGAATGGACCCATAAAAGCAAATATAATTACACACTTAGTAAGGATCTGAGGGGTATTATGAGTGAATTCAGTAGACCAATAATGAAGCTAATAAACACAGGAACTGCCTCAATAGAATGAGTCCCTATAAAGTGCATGTGAATCTTTGATAATTAAAAGTCTTTTACATTATCTTTATTTTTGAATGGTTAAAATAGTTTAGAATATATGGGTAAATAAACTGTAGACTTTCATACATTGATTAAATTTTATAAATCGAATGTGTTGAAGACCTAAAGTATATTTCATTGTGTCTTAAGAAACAATCTGTTTTTCCTCACCATAAGCACAAAATTTCATAGCAATTTAACAACTTAGGATAGTCAAATGAATTCAATTTAATAAGCACTGATGTGAAGCTTACCAAACATAAAAACATGGTTTGTGACTTTAAAGAGCTAAATTTATGTAATTTATGCTACTATGGTACATAAAACGGGGAGACAGACCCAGAGTAAGGTATTCTGACAGTACCTTAAAACAAGAATACACACACGCGTGCGCGTGCTCGCGCGCGCGCACACACACACACACACACACACACACACACACACACACAAAATGGATTGTTATTCAGCCTTTAAAAAGAAGGAAATCCTGCCATGCAACAACATGGGTAAACCTGGAGGGAGTTACGTTAAGTGAAATAAGTCAGACAGAGAAGATGAGTATGACATGGTATCTCTTATGGTGGAATCTTTAAAAAAAAATAAAGGTGAACTCATAGAAACAGGGGCTGGTGGTTAGGGAAAATTGGGAAGGGTATAAACTTTCAGTTATAAGATGAATAATCTGAGAATCTAAAGTATAACATGGTCACTACAGTTGATAATACTGTATTGTATAACTGAAATTTACTAAGAGTGTAAAACGTGTGTTCTCACCAAAAAATAAAAAGTAAATATGTGAGATTATGGATGTTAATTAATTCAATTGTGCGAATCCTTTCACAATACATACCTGTATCAAATCATCTTGTTGTACATATTAAAAATGATTTTATTATATTTAAAATAAAGCTTAAAAAATCCCCAAGAAACCACCACCCTATAATGAGTCTTCTGTTGTTAAACAGCTGTGTAAAATCCACATTGTGTATTTATATGCAGCAATATTTACAATTTAATATACTTTATCAACATTAAACATTCAAAAAAGAAAAATTTATCTGGTCTACAATATTTCTACAAGCTGAATGTCAGGAGTAGGGCAGAGATAAGGAAGGAAGGATGGAAGGAAGGAAGGAAGGAAAGAAGGAAGGAAAAAATAAAAGGGAGATAATTTTTTTTTCCTAAGGAGAAGAAAAGGGAAGAGCAAAGACATAGAAAGAACAAGGGGAACGAAAATAGGTGGGGGGAACCTGAAATCAGAAGGAGAATATATTTAAAAATTAATGCATTTGTTTATATAAAAAATATCACATCTTTATTTTAAAACAGAAATATAAATATGAAAAATAAAACAAATGCTTATTTCCCCCTCCTTCATATGTAGGTACATATGTATGTGCATATGTGTATATGTATGCATTATATAATTGTTTTTTGGTAAAGCTTACCAGAAAAATCTTCTTGAATCGCATGGCTTAGCTCTGGAAAAGAAAATTTATATATTCGTTAAAACCCAGTAATCCCACTTCTAGGAATATATCCCAAGAAATCAGAAACACCAATCGGAAAAGATATATGCACCCCTATGTTCATAGCAGCACAATTTACAATAGCTAAGATTTGGAAACAGCCTAGGTACCCATCAGCAGACGAATGGATTAAAAAACTGTCGTACATCTACACAATGGAATACTACACTGCTATAAAAAAGAAGGAACTCTTACCATCTGCAACAGCATGGATGGACCTGGAGAGCATTATGCTAAATGAAATAAGCCAGTCAGAGAAAGATAAATACCACATGATCTCTCATTTGTGGAATATAGTGAACATAAAATGATGAACAAAAATAGATCGAGAGACAGAGAAGCATTGAACTGACTGTCAAACTTCAAAGGGAAGGCAGGGGAGGGGGCGGGGGTAAGAGATCAACCAAAGGACTTGTATGCATGCATATAAGCATTACCAATGGACACAGACACTAGGCATGTGAGGACATGTGCTGGGGGATGGGAGTGGCCAAGGAGAGGTCAATGGAGGAAAAATATAATATTGTAATAGCTATGTGCAGGAAAGGGGGGTACTTTGAAATATTAGGGTGACCACTTTGTAAAGTATATGACTGTCTAACCACTATACTGTACACCTGAAACTAATACAGAATAATATTGAATATGAAAAAAAATAGAATAAAACCCAACTTTAATTCACACAGTTCATGAACATCAAAGAAGATAATTTAAATGGTTCTTTTATGCACTATTTCAAATCTCTCAAGATAAGTAAAACATATTCTGAGAGACCAAAAGAAAGAAACTGTATACAACCAAAATGTAGAGTCAAATCATTTAAACATACGACATACATTTCTTCATTTTTGCTTAATTCTCTCCCTATTAATTAAAGAGTGAACACTCAATTGCTCACAGGTGGTAACCCACACTACTCCAAGTGTGGGTCCCACACTGACAACTCTACAAACCAAGAAGAGAGCAGGGGAGGAAGCGAGGCATGCACGAATGCTCCGGGTGTGCAGGTGCACATGTGAACATAGGCCAGACTGGTTTAGCTCGGCTTCTCCTTTCTCATTGTTCTCTAAAGTTGAAAAAAGTTTACTGAGCATCTCTGTGTGCCATGCACGTTCTAGGTGTTATGGGCACAGCAGTTGGTGAAAGAGAAAAATCCCTGGAACTTACATTCCGGAAGGAGAGATGCAAGAAATATTTTTTTACAAACATTTGCTCTAAATTTCACTGTGATAATATGGTTACCTAGAACTTAAAATTTTACATTATTTTGGTCTTCTGATCCAATATTACCAACCATGAGTGTCATATTTTTGAACATGGAATTTTTGTTTGTTTTTTAATAAGTGTGCAGAGATATGTTAGCTACATGCAGTGTGAACACGATTAGCCGTAATATTTGAAACATAATAGATGCTGGCACTGATGTTTCATTTAAAGAAAAATTATGACAGTGCTAATGAATAATGTATACTTTTCTAGACATCTAAGTGTTTTCTAGACATCTCCCAAAAGAGGCAATTTACATTAGACTTTAGGCTAACAAAAAGTAGGATAGGACATATTTCTAGGAGAAAGGTTTGATTTTGATTAATAAATGAAAGGAAATAAGAAAGAAAAAGACATTTATCAACTCTGACCAAATTCAGGACTCTATGCACTTCACTAATATAACAAAGCATCAAGCAGAATCCTGAGTCAGCTGAGATCTAGAGAATTTCAGTCTGTGTTTTACAAAAGTAAATGAAAGGTTTTATACATAAGAATTCATACTTAAACCAATTACCAAGATTATTTTCTACTTGCTGTTGTTTTTGCTTATTTCATTTCTACCTTCTAATTAGAATATCATCTTCATAAAAGGAGAAAAGAGTGAAATCCTAGAGTTAAGTTCATTATGGGTCAAAAATGGATTCAGAATCTGGTATCTTTTATTCCAAATTTCAGTCCTGATTTTCTTTCTTTTGATAGATCTGTAATCTCTCAAAACAGACAGAAGTGAATTGTACAGTGGGTCTTTGACCATGGAGGGATATAATACAACCTTGCAGTCCATGCTGCTTCAGTGCAGCCTGACTTCCTTGTAACCCAGCTGGCAAGAAACAGGCCAATGAAACCAGCACCCGGTGACGGGTGCCTACTAGAAGCATGTGACAGACAGGCTTCCAGAGATTAGTTTGCAGGTGTCAGGAAGAGTCTGACAAAGCTGGGCCAACAAATATTTCATGTTATTATTTATTTTGATTACATCTAATTATTTAAACTTGAGAAAGGGGAGGTTATACTGCCATTTGCTAGCAATTTCATTAATAGAAAGAAATATCAGAAAAAAGTGATAAAAATGATAAACCAAAATGATAGCATATCAAATATTAAACCAAAATAATAGCAGATAGCCCTGGTTTGGTGGCTGTTGGTTAGAATGTTGTCTTGTGCACCAAAAGGTTGCAGGCTCAATTCCCAGTCAGGGCACATACCTGGGTTTTGGGTTTGATCCCTGGTCAGGGTACATACTGGAGGCAACCGATTGATGTTTCTCTTTCGCATCAATGTCTCTTTTTCCCCCCTCTCTCTCTCCCCCTTTCCTCTCTAAAAAAAAAGATCAATAAAAATAACATACCCTTGAGTGAGGATTAAAAAATAATAGAAGATAAATATTTAGTACCTAGACTTCAGACCAAGTTATTGCCATATGTAAAGGACATTGGAGTTGTTTCCACTAATAAAGAATAAAGTACTTACCAATATGTATAAGATATGAATAATCCTTGATGATAGTTTCTGCTCTAAAGGAATCATACTGATGATCAACTATTACTGAGTCTAAATTGACATCCTTAAATAGAAAGCAAAAAGAGAAAGATTAAAAGGTATTTTTTTCCAAACTTCTACAACTATACTTTAAAAATATACATTTTTATTATTTCAGAGAAAAAGGGAGAGGGAGAGAGAGATAGAAACATCAATAAGAATCATTGATCAGCTGCCTCCTGCACACCCCCTACTAGGGATGGAGCCTGAAACCTGAGCATGTGTCCTGACCAGGAATCTAACTGGGGACCTCTTACCCTTCCCTTTTCTTCTCCTTGGGAAAAAAAACACTGAGAAACACCAGCCAGGCCAAAAGAATTTTTAAAAGATGTAATATCTACACTTGATCTTAGCCAAAAATAGAAACAGAGGCATAAATACATAGAACAGACTGACAGTTGCCAGAGGGCAGGGAGAATGGGGGACTAGATGAAAGAAAATGAAGGGATTAAACAAAAAACATATACATAACACACAGACACAGATAACAGTGTGGTGACAGCCAGAGGGAGAAACGAGGGTGGGGCCTAGGCAAAGAGCTGGTGGATACAGAGGCAAAGAGAGTATGCTTGGGGCAGTGGGTGCACCACGCAGTGTGCCGATGGCTTTTTAATGAATTGTGTGTGCACTTGAAATCTGTATGGTTTTGTGAACCAATGTCACTCCAATTAATTCAATAAAAAACTTAAAAATGCAATACCTGACTATTTAGGCAGGGCTATGGACCTCTTTTCCCTTAAACCAGTGGTTCTCAACCTTCTGGCCCTTTAAATACAGTTCCTCATGTTGTGACCCAACCATAAAATTATTTTCGTTGCTACTTCATAACTGTAATGTTGCTACTATTATGAATCGTAATGTAAATATTTGATATGCAGGATGGTCTTAGGTGACTCCTTTGAAAGGGTTGTTCGACCGCCAAAGGGGTCGTGACCCACAGGTTGAGAACCGCTGCCTTAGACTGTCAAATAAAATAAAAAATAAAAACGACAGCAGCCAACACAATAGCCATCCAGTGTGAACAAATCAAAATTATACCCACATTTTGTTAGATTGGCAAAAAATAGCATATTTTTTCATATGCTGCAGAATTTTAGTAGTTTACGTGTGCAATGAAATAAAAAGGTTGAGAATTGTTGATTTATACCTTACTCTGAACACATAATAACACACAGTCATCCATCCTCTGTGCCTCACTGATATTACTAAAGGCAGTAAACCCAGCTTCCTTAGGCGCTGCCCTCTTGGTTTTGGAATGTGCAATGAGACAATAACGAGGGGGAGTGGAAGGCGGGACAAGCTGTGCCTGTGGCACTCCTGGCTCTGTCAGGCAGAGGCTGGTGGCTCTTATGGAACGGTCAAGTCCTGCTACAAGAGTCAGAGGAGCTCACTGGCTCAGATGTGGTTTTGCTACTTACAGAAGTAGCATGGATTCTCAGAAACTTGTAGCTGCTTGAACTTGTCTTTAAATCCACATGGTTTCTCAAGTGTGGGAACCTTGTCAGTTGCTGGAGGATGTGTTTGGAAATGTAAGTTGCCTGTTTATCTGATTTCCCAACTGGACTATAAGCCAAATAAAAGCCAAGTCTCTATGTATCTGGCATATTATTAGATCCCTGACATCTAAGAGAGCACTGCAAATAAAGTAGGTGTTCAAGAGATGGTGAATGAATTATGTCCTGAATTTTAATTTCAAGAGGGCATCTGAACCCCATTAGTGGTTTACCTATTCTAAGCCACAGCAGTAGTCTCTCCTGTCTCTCAAATCCCAATTTATGGTCAGGAAATTAGTTCTCATGGTGAAGTTAAATGGGATTCTTGCTTTGCCATCCATGCTTTCAAAAAAAAAAAATCATAAAAAAGCACATATAATACTTGCTAGTCTAGTTTTTTTCTAAGAGGCTATAGTGTTGTTGTTAAGAGCATACACAATGGAGCTAGCCTGCCTGGGTTCAAAATGCTAGATCTGCAACTTACTATGTGACCTTAGGTAAATAATTTAATCTCTCTTTGTTTCCTTATCTGTAAAGCAGGAATGACAAAAGTATTTACTTCATTGAGGTAAATGGTGAGGGGTAAATAAGTTAATACAAGAAAAGTGCTTAGAAAAGTACCTGGCACAGAGTTAACACTTATTTTTTTTTCTGATTTTTAAAGATATGTTTACCTTCTGTTTAGTATATATGACAATGGTGACTAAAGAGTCTGTTTGGAACCAGTCATAGCTGTAAAATATCAAGAAAAAAATGAATTATTACATCAATAATAATGCGCATTAACATAATTAAAATAACTAAAAATCTGCAGTGAGAAATATATTTTCTAGGTAAACTTTTTTCCTAAATAATCAGTGGTCTTAACATTATATAATTGGTAATTTTTTCCAAATTTAAAATACCTATACTTCCATGTTCCAACTTGGATTAAAAAAACACAAACAGGTATTTTTGACAAGATACTTTTTATAAAAGTTACACATCTCCTTACTAAATTTTTCTTTCATCAGAACAAACAAAATACAATACGTTTTCTTAAGGAACATAACAAAATCTACATGCTTATAATTTCTTTTACTCCTCCCTGTCACAAATATTATTACTCAAGAAATTAATTCATCAAGGTGGTTTATTGAGTAAACAGTAAAACTTAAGGTAAAACTAAGTCTTCTGTTTTGTAATAGCTATTAATCAAACTGTTACTGTTTTGAACTTATTACCTACATATAGGCACCCATAAGTAAATCCTAGAGGAGGTATCCTTAGGACCTTAACATATATAAAATAATTTAGAAGATTGTATATGAAATAATTTAACAAATATAGGAGGATGCTGCTGATATAATATAGACTAACAATAGGGGAAAAGGCAGAAAGAGAAAAAACTACAAAGAACATAAATAACTCTGAGGACATGTGAAATATCCATAGTCCATATATATTTACGGACTATGGACATTTCATATCCTATATAATAAAAGGCTAATGTACAAATCGACCAAATGGCTGAACAACCATCGCTGTGATGTGCACTGACCACCAGGGGGCAGACGCCCAACGGAGGAGCTGCCCTCTGGTGGTCAGTGTGCTCCCACAGAGGGAGCACCGCTTAGCCAGAAGCCGTGCTCATGGCTGGCGAGTGCAGAAGTGATGGCAGGAGCCTCTCCCACCTCTGCAGCAGCGTTAAGGACCCCTCGGGGAATGTCCCACTGCTAGAGAGTGCAGGCTGGGCTGAGGGACCCCTCCCCCCCAGTGCACGAATGTTGTGCACTGGGCCTCTAGTATTAAAAATTGTATAAAAAATTAGATATGCAAAGAACAGAATAGTTCAATAAATTATGGTATGGTCATATAAAAGAATGCAGACAAAAATGCTTTTATAGAATATTTAATAACATAGGAAATTGGGCACAGAATATATCATAATACCAATATTTTCAAAAGAGAATAATATTGAAGTAGATATTATATGAATCAAACCGGGTAGAATAAACCAAATATTAAGACCATATATCTAAGGTTGGTGGTATTAACAATTGATTTTTATCATTTTCTTTTGCATTTCTCTGCATTTTCCAAGTTTTCTACCAAAAATGTATATTTTATAATAAAAAGTATTTTGATAGTTTTATTAAAGTATTGGTGTTTAAAATGAATCAAACGTAAGTTATATTAAACACTCAAATTTACAGAATAGTTCATTCTCCAATAATGTCTGATAAAGAAAGTCCTTGTGTCAGAGAAGCATGACTAATATAGTAAGCAATAAATCAAACCCATCGCTGTTTTATATTTTAATGTGTATATTTTGGTCTAAACTGATTTAGCTTTGAAAGAGTAAAACAAGAAGGCATACCTTGGAGAAACCGGGCCTTCTTTGGCAAGTGCATCTGGCACTTGGCTCTTGGGAAGCATGCCTTCACAAGGAAAATAAACAAAATAGCCACAGTTCATCGAGGCAGTACTTTTCTTTATTTTAACCTTTTCAGTAAACTTCTTATGTACTACTCAATAAATGTTCATAAAGTAAAACATACCCTGTACCCAGTACCCTGTTTGTAACCCCTCCTGATCACCACCCTTCCAACGGTAATCATTATTCTTAGAACATCATGATTAGATTATACATGTATTTGACCTTTCTAAAAGTGGAATCGTATGACATGTTCTTTTGATCTGACTTTTTTTTTGTCCAGCATTATAGACATTACAGTTCTTATGTCAAATAAGCATGATTGATAGCAATAAATCAAACCTGGAGCTTTCTGAGATTTTATCCATGCTGTTGAATGCCTCAGTAGTTTGTTCGTTTTTATTAATGAGTAGTATTACACTGTATAAATGTACCAAAATTTATTCATTCTCTTGTTGACAGACATTTGGGCAGTTTTCACTATTATGCAAAGTGCTGTTATAAATATTATTGTACATGTATATTCTTAAAAAACATATATCCACATTTCTGGTAGGTATATAGGGTGTGCATATGCTTAGCTTTGCTAGATACTATTACACAGTTTTCTAAAATGGTTGTACCAATTTACACTTTTCACCAGAAGTGTTTGAGGGTTCCAGTTGTTCTACAACCTCACTGACATGCGGTATGGTTTTTTTCCATTTCAGTCCTTCTTTTGGGCATACATCAACAAAACATTCTAAATGTCCATTAAAGCTGTGGTTTTCAAAGTTGTATTGGAAAACTCTGAGCATGGAAGAATTCTGTAGATACTGTAAACATGAAATATTTTCCTCCCACAACAGGAATGCACTGCTGTATCTATAAAATTTTCTTTGGGAAAAAGAGTACTACTGCTAAAAGACTTATAAAAATCACTACATTGATTATATTATTTTTCAAACTGTGTAGGAAAGGAAAGTAATGTTTAGTTTCTGGTGAGTCTTGAAATTCTCAAATTAGAAGTCACAGTATTTATATAAAGTTAGAGTTGGGAGGTGCCTTTAAGACAAACTAGTTTAGAGGTTTCAAGATGCTTTTTAGTCGGAAAATCTTCGTTGAAACACAAGCTTAAGTGCAAGCACAGGTGTCAAACAGCCATATTTTTAGGATGAGGCTGACAGAGAACCCTGAATTCAGGCCTTACTCACTTAGTGTCCGTCTCATCCCATGGAACTCTGCAGAATACACTTAATTTTCAGATAAACAAAGGAAGTCTCTGAGATGTGACATAAGGCCAAAGACATGAAGCAATTAGTAGTGAGCCTAAAAAAGAATGCTCTACCACAAAACTACAGGTATAATAAAAGAGATAAGACTACAATAAATCAAAATATATTCTTTCTAAAATGATAAAAACAAGAAAAAACAAAATTAAGTTTTTGAGAAGCCCTAAAAGATATTTTATTAAGATATATATATATATATATATCACCTTTTGGAGGCCTCTTATATAAATGAACACATCACAATCTAAGAATTTCTATAAGAAAAAACTATAAACAGAATTAATCAAAACATTCTAAAAACTACATAGTACCATACACATATAAATTATTAGGAGAGAATAATGCCATAGGCCAAATAATACACACCTTACACATTATATCCTTGGGATAAGTTGAAGGAATCTGAGATTAATGTGGGGTGGAGTAAAATAATTAGGTAAAGCAAGTTGGACTGAATGGATATTATCCCTCTCCACAATTCTGACTGATGGACTGATATCAAATTGAAGGGATCAAGTCTCTGGTGGAATACTATAGTAGTTTATTCTATTCAGTATTTTAAACAACTGTATGAATAAAGACTTAGAAGGCAGGCAGATCACATCTACAAATACATACAGTTACCACCAAGACTTAAATGAGCCGAACATGAGAGGCAGCTAATACAGCAAAAGTAGGTTTACAGTTGTGAGTAGGTGAAACAAAGTTTATTCTTGTATTATTATTATAATCATAACCTGCATGTATTTTTCCTTATAAGTGTAAACCTACTTTTTCTTACCCCTGCATATGTATATGTGTGTGTATAACAATCTCAGAGATCTAAGATCTTAAGAGGTAACTGTGCTAGCCAGACCACTGGTATGTTATAGTCCATTTTTAGGGACACCTTTAACTGAGGTAGTAGTTAAATGCAATGCATCCAAAGCAGGGCAATAAGAAAGTAAAGGTTCTGGAAGCCATATGTGGTGGGAAATGAAATGCCCAGTCCATCAGTAATTAGTCTTTAAGTGAAGGTTGTTTGTGTAATATTACAGAAGAGCCAATCATCAGATGAAATTTAAGATCAGTGCCTCATTTATGCAGTGTTATACTATTGGATAAGCAACTTCGGTTGTTACATTGCAAACTGCATAAATTAGTCTACAGTACAGACTATTTTCTCTACTTAGAAGCCCGGTGCACGGATTAGTGCACCGGTGGGGTCCCTCGGCCTGGCCTGCGGGCATCAGGCCAAAACTGGCTCTCTGACATCCCCGAAGGGGTCCCAGATTGTGAGAGGGTGGTTCTTGGGTGACGCACCCCGGAATCAGGCTCCCTCCTCTCTGGTTCTAGATACCTCACCCGAGAACCACAGCTGCCAAGTCACCACAGCTTGGCAGCTTCTGCATTGAGCATCTGCCCCCTGGTGGTCAGTGTGCATCTAAGCTACCAGTCGGACGGTCAGATGGTCGCTTAGGCTTTTTTTATATACAGATAACTCATCTGGCAATTTAGCTTATTAGCTGACTTTCTAAAACTTTCTTTTGCAGAGAGAAAAACCCCTATTACTACACATACATTAATATAGTTCAGTTATAATTCCAAGTCATACTGAATGGCTGAAGAAGGCACTGCTGCTGAGCCCAGCTAGAGAAGAGTGGGTTAACAGGCTATGAGCATCTGTATGCAAACACTGGAGGTGACCTCACATGGCCGAGGGAGGTGACTTGTTCAGTCTTGCTTCCTAATGACTACAAGTCTTCAAGCTGAGGGCAGATGAACACATGTTCAGGGATGTCATAGAGGGGACTACTATTAGAGTAATGGCTGGAATATGGGATCTATAGAGATCTGTCAATCCTTTAAGTTTGGGGAAGTAAAGACATCATTAGCCTAAAAATATATCTGAATACCCCAGGTAATTCTGTAAAGCAATATTATATATTATCAAGTGAGTATGATTCATTTTTCACTATAAATGTATGACTTACCATTTAAGACTTTCTTTTCCTCATGATAGTCTGTACAGTGATTTAGAAAAAAAGTCAGATAAGAATATTATAATGCCAAAGAGAATATCAGTTAATATTATTGACTTAAAGATATCAGCCCTTCTTTCTTGAAGGGCTTTTTTCTAAGGTCTGAGAGAGAAATAAGGGCTCACGTTTCAAACAAGTTTCATCTCTGAAGATTGGCAGGCCATCTCTCCAGGCATTTCACTGGGCTTTTTATCTACTTATTTGAATATTTTTTCTAATATCCTGATTAACTTTTTAAGAAAGCATATAAAAACCCAAGTTTTCTCCAGGTTATCATATTTTAAATTAGTCAAAATTAACAAGAATTTATTAGATTATATTCTAGAAATGAAACGTACATATTAACAACCCAAAGGATGATACTTTATTATGTTTCTCTTTTATCTAGGTCAGTACTTAAAATCGCCACTGTTACTCCAAATTTAAATGGCCATAATGCTGAAAATATGTTGACTTTCATATGTATATAAAATGCAATTATTAGTGTTACAACCCAGAAAAAAAAATTTAACAGGTATTGTTTTTCAGGATGGCAGCCAACTCACCAATCCATATAGCTTGATCACAAGAGTTATACCATATGGTCAAAATAAAACCCACAGCAAATTGCCAGGGTTTAAAAAAATAACTGAATGACAAGTTAACACAAAATATCAAGCAGTAAATTGCAAGACATCACTTGTTAGAGTGATAATACCTTGTTTTACAGAAAAAGAAACTTAAATCAAAGCTTTCACATTTTTTATGTTCTGATTTTCAATCAACCAGAGAATTCCATAATAACCTCCATTTCATGCACCTGTCATAAAATAATCATGTTTAAGGGGGCCAGATGACCAGCCTTTTTGTTTATTTTCGCCATTTTCCAAAATAATTTCATAGCTGAAAGGAATCTTAACAACATATAGCAAATTATCATGTGATACTCTATTTATGACTGAAAATCAGAGTCCAGAACTTGAATGAAATCCACAGCTCTTAAGCAGCAAAGCCAAGATTAGACTCCATCTTTTCTGAAACTTAGCACCACACTTACTATAACATTACTAGAGTTAATACTCACTGAAAACACAAAATACCTAAAAGCCATTTAGACTATAACTAAAAATGAGCTTTTATCAAATGCCAGATAAAAATCTAGTCATTATAATTTTCAAGGGACCGCTGATGTCCCTGCTTAGTCACTCTCATTCAATCAGTTTTATCTGTCTTTGCTACTGCAGTTGTGATTCTTTGTTTTATCTTAGAACAAACAGCAGTATCACAAGTAAATCTATTTTCAGTGTACCACACAGCTGGCAGTTTGATGAATTTCATTTATCATGTAAAACAATTTGTTTTTATCTAAGAGGCTCACAGATTTTGAGAAATTGTCCAAGTAATTAGTTTCCACTGAAAAATATGTATTCACTTCTTGCTTGATCTGAATTGATTTGAATCTGTCAGAATCTTCTGGATCCTGATAAATTAGCAATTTTTCCCTGGTTCTTTTTTTAATACAAAAAGTATCAGTAGGAAAAGAACTTCTAACCAAATGATCTAAATTATCTTTAAAAACTCTATGAGTCTACTTTTGCAGCTCTTTTCAAAAACTGAGTCATAGAAATAAAAAGACAATTTTTTGGCTATTAAGCATATTTACATCTGAATCATTTTAGTCACATGAGACACTTTGCTCTCTGACTAGAAACCTGTTATTCTGTCTTGATAACTAATTCATCATTTGGTTGGCTCCATGGCCAAGAGAATTTATCTTTTCTCATAATGTCGTATGAACTGCATTACTCTGCTTGGAACCTCTGCTTTGTGGAGAGGTCGGGGTCATTAGGAAGGCTAGCACTGTGACCTATCAGCATCCTGCTCTTCTCTGGTAAGAGGGCTAGGTAAGCACTTTTAATTGTGACCCCAATCTAGTTCACCTCTGCTGAGTGGAGCCACAGGCAGATCCCCTGGGGTGAAAAAGAAACAAAAACCCTGCTTTGCCAGTATGCTCATTCTTTTAACATATACCTGTTGATCATCATCTTAACAGGGATACTGACATAATAAGAAACTATTTGGATAAAAAGTTAGGACAATGTAAATATATAGATAGTTTGCCTATACATGAATGAAGATAATTTGGAAGGATTCACAATAAAAGTAGTAATATGGTTACCTTTGTGTGTGCATGGAAGGAGAGAAGGGTAGAGGGGAGACAAGTATGATAAGAGCACTTCTCATTCTTGAATTGTGTGAATGCACTACTGACTCAAAAATTAAGTAAACCTAACTAAAAACAAAATGTCATTATATCTATTCTTTTTAATTCAATGTGATAAATGCTGTAAAAGAGGTATGTAGAAGGTAATATGGGAGCCTACAGAGGGTGGGCATCTGTACTTACAAGGAATTAGAAAGACTCCACTAAGGAAGTAATATTTAGCTACATTTTAAAACTATACAGACATTTTTCAGAAAGGCCTTGAAAAAACATTTTAAGAAGACATATACTGAGCATTTATATCAGAATGTTTTCCATTTATCATGTAGCTACATATCTCATCTTCCCTTCTGACTCTAAAAAGGTTAATATCATGAAACCATCAGATATAAGTTTAGTCTTGTTACCAGAGATCTTAGTCACAAAGTCCAAAACATACCATAGTGTTCCCTTCACTGCTTAGCCTTGCCAGAAGACTCTTTGGCTCTCTACAATGTGTTTAATAACCATTTTGTCTCTAGACATTCTTCCATTATCTCTAAATGGAACTCCTCATAACACAACTTAGGCCTAATTCTTGATTTTGTTTCAAAAGTTATATACTCATTTCTCATATCTTATAAAATTTCTTAATTTTTCTATTTCTTAACTCTCTTTACCTTTTACTTTCCTCTATTCATCATTGTAATCTTCTGAATCATTATCTTTAAATGTTATACATCTTTGAAACTTCAAGGCCCAGAATTACTCCTTATCCTAGAAGCAGTTTACCAGTAGAATTACAATAGAAATTGAATAGTTCAAATACATACTCTGAAAAAATCCCAGGATTAAACTAATATAAGAGACTCTTTAGTAGCAAAAGCAAATTAAGGTAATCTGAGATATCAAATTTGCTCATTCAATAAAGGCCATTTCATCATGACACCCTGCCCTTTTCCTCCACTAGTAACTGTCTAGCTTCCCCCAACATAAGCCTCTGAGCTTGTGTTTTGCCCACCCACTTAAGCCGTGAACTGTCCCCATTTTACCAATGAGGAAACTGATGCTCTTAGGAAAAAGAACACTGACTCTTGAGAAGCTGAACTTCCAGCTCATCCAATGCTGTCTTGTTTACATACCAACTTCACAGACATGTGCCACTAATACTATAATTTTTTAAGGATAAAAAACTAATTCATATATGAGGGTTTCTCTACTTCAACACTATAAAAACTGGGGGCTGGATAAATCTTTATTGTGGGACTCTATCCTGTGCGTTATAGGGTACTTAGCCGCATCCCGAACCTCTCCTCTAACCACTAGAATGCCAGGAGCATTTAGCTTAGTTGTGGCAACCAAAATGTCTCCAGACATAGCCAACTATCTCCCAGGAACAAAATCAACCCCAGTTAAAAACCACTGGCATATGCAAAAGAAAACTAACTATGTAAAAATGGATAATTAAATAACTAAAGCCTTTGGAAATGTACATATACAAACAAGCCTCAGCATCCTCACTTTTAAACTGAGGGTGTTAGAGCAGCTCTAAGCCCCTCTTCCACATCTTAACTATTCTCTGGATCCATGGTTCTAAGTGACTTATAGTCATTAACTGCTTGAGAGTGGGGTGAAAACTAAAACATAAAGTATTAGAAATCATGATAAAGCAATGAGAAATTAAAGAAGAAACATTCCTGAGACCGTACTATGCCACTGGAAAATATGAGATTTTAGAAATGTGACTTATGGTGAATTTTTTAAAAGTACATTTATGATCTAGAATGGCACTGTCCAAAAGAAATACAATGCAAGCCACAGTATAATTTTAAATTGTCTAACAGCAATATGAGCAACGTAAAAATAAATGGGTTAAATTAATTTTAATAATATATCTTTACTTAATATACTATATCTAGAATATTATCATTTCAATGTGTAATCAATATAAAAATTATGAGATATTTTACACTTTTTTTCATACTTAAAGTCTCAAAATGCAGTGTATACTTTATACTTTCAGCACATCTCAATTTGGACAAGCATATCTTGAGTGCTAGATAGCCACATGGGGCTAGTTAGTGGCTACCATGACAGAAATGGACTAGAATAAGGGCAAAGAGTAAGAACATTTTCATCTTTGCCAGAGAATGTAAAGAAATTATCAGCAACTACAGCTTACCTTTTCAAAGTTTCCTTTTTTATTCTTTATTGATATCTTTCTAAAGCATAAACCATAATATTTTTTAAAACAATGAAATATAAAAATCACACTGTTAGCTTAATAAGGATCCACTAGTATTATCCTATATAATAAAAGGGTAATATGCAAATTGACCGAATGGCAGAACGACTGCTTGCTATGATATGCATTGACCACCAGGGGGCAGATGCTCAATGCAGGAGCTGCCCCCTGATGGTCAGCGCCCCCCCACAGGGGGACCCCTGCTCAGCCACAAGCCGGGCTGACAGCTGGCGAGCTCAGTGGCCCACCTTCGTGGCAGCACTAAGGATGTCTGACTGCGGAGCAGGCCTAAGCTGGCAGTTGGACATCCCCCAAGGACTCCCAGGCTGTGCAGGCCAGGCTGAGGGACCACCCCCTCGCCCCTGAGTGCACGAATGTTGTGCACTGGGCCTCTAGTGCTTTATATTCTGACTCTGCTGGCTTTTCTGTTTCCTTCCTAGATACCCAGGCATTTCACCAATGCCACACTAGAAACCACCAGATAAAATGAAAACTACACTGCCCAACTGTGCGGGTGCCCACAAAATGCCAATTCTGGATGCCCCTGCATTGATGTCTGGCAGGTGACCCCACCTAAATGATGGTGTCAGGGGTCTGGTATTGAGAGACGAACATATATAAAATTCCTCTTCAGTATATCCACCGTCTCCCCACCCCCACCCCACCTCCACAAATCCTCATCTCAGCAAGTCTCTTTCCACCTACTATTCCCACTTTATCTCTTTTCACTCTCTGTTCCCACTTCATGTTTTCATTCTCTATTTCTACTTAATCTATTTTCATCCTCTAGTCTCACTTCATCTCTGTTTTCATCCTCTGTTCTTATTGCATCCAGGAGTTCTGATTATAGAGTGAACACATGCCCTGGGTTGTCAGAGTCAATTTACCACGTTATCCCAGCATAATTACTAACAGAATCAAACCTGCCCCAGTTTGGACAGTTACACAGTTAACCCATCTAATAATAGTCTCTGTCCATAAGTGTCAGGCCAGTAGAGATCAATGATGAATAATCCCTGACTACAGAGGAAAGGTTAGTCATTGTTTTATTCTAAAGAAGAACTAAAGTAAAACCTTTATAGCAGCCGTGAAAATAAGAACAATATAGTGATTTATTTAAATCTATTTGTTGAAATCCAAGTTAAAAAAAGTACATGTGTGTCACACATCAATGCCAGCTCAGCACTGGCACCACTTACCTTTGGGAACAGCAGGTTTCACTGCCATCCTGCCGACCAGGCATTCTTTCAGCATGGATTCATAATTGACCCAACGATGAACCTGGTATGGAATAGGAATGACAGAAAAGCAACATGACTAACTCCATGAGATGCTCTGATTTTATTCTGAACAAAACTAAAACATTTTTACACTGCTCTGAAAAATGAAGAAGCAGATTATTTGCCAATAAGGGAGTGATGGAAAGGTAGCATACATAGGGTAACAATGTTCTCAAAATGTTGTCTATAGACCCCTGGAGGTTCCTGATGCCCTTTCAGATATCCATGAGGACTCGATTAGTTTCAAAATATACAAAAAATTGCCTTTTTCATTGTGTTAACATTGGCACTAATGTCAAAACTGCAATGGTGGATAAAGCTGCTTTCATCTTAGCATAAATTAAGGTAGTGATTTCAATCATTATATTCTTCACCAGACCCGTGGTTTCATTTAACATCTTTCAGGAAGTAGAAAATATTATTAAATTTCTTAAATCTCAACCCTTGAGTACAAATCTTTTCTATATTCCGTGTGACAAAATGGAAGTCCTCAAAAGCACTTCTACTGCAAGGTAAGATGGTAGCCCTGCGGAAAATCCCTTAGGCAATTGTTTGATTTGCAAACTGAAGTGAGTTTTCTTCTTGAAAGGCTGGTCATGGCTTAGGAGAAAAAGAATGACCTATAAACAAGCTGTTATTCAGGCAAGCATCTGATAGACATTTTCTTGAAAAGGAACACAGTAAGACTGTCACTTAAGGAAAACGAATTAGGGTATTTGTTGCCAGACTTATAGTGGGAATTTAATTTAAACAACTTTTCTGAAGGGTACCTTCCCAATATACATAAAATAAAAGCCTTAAAGTATGCATTTCTTTCATTAATTTTAAATTTACTTGAGAAAATATTTGCATTTGTCTATATACACAAAGATACAAGTGCCAGGATACTCATCACAGCACTATTTATATCATCAAAATATTGGAAACATCCTAAATGTCCAATTGTAAAAGACCAGTATAGGAAAATTATATTATTTGATAAAATACTATATAATCACCAAAATAATCAGGTCAAATACTTCTGATGTCAGAATCTTTATGTATGTTCCTGAGAAAATAAGTATACACTAAAATAGAAAATATGTAAAGAAAATATATGTAATTATAAATAGACACTCATTTATTAACATAAATTAAAATTTCATTTACCAACTATTTTTGGAGCATCCAATAATGTGTAGAGCACTATCTCTGCTTTCCTCTCATCATCACTGCCTCCCATAAGTCAGTCATAATCATTATCAAAATTGATCAAAACTGAGTAAACAACTGCCAACAGAGGCAATAAGCACTTAAGAGCAGACGGCTAGTTCAGCCAGTGTGTTTCAGCGGTTGAGCATCGCCCCATGCACCAAGAGGTCGCCAGTCCTGGTCAGGGCACATGCTCAGGTTGTAAGCTTGATCCCCCGTGGGGGGCATAGAAAATATGTAAAGAAAATATATGTAATTATAAATAGACACTCATTTATTAACATAAATTAAAATTTCATTTACCAACTATTTTTGGAGCATCCAATAATGTATAAAGCACTATCTCCGCTTTCCTCTCATCATCACTGCCTCCCATAAATCAGTCATAATCATTATTAAAATTGATCAAAACTGAGTAAACAACTGCCAACAGAGGCAATAAGCACTTAAGAACAGACGGCTAGTTCAGCCAGTGTGTTTCAGCGGCTGAGCATCGACCCATGCACCAAGAGGTCGCCAGTCCCGGTCAGGGCACATGCCCAGGTTGTAAGCTTGATCCCCAGTGAGGGGCATGCAGGAGACAGCTGATCCATGTTTCTCTCTCATTGATATTTCTATCTCTCTCCTTCTCCTTCCCTCTCTCTCTAAAAATTAGTAAGAACATATTTTTAAAAATTGTTTTTATAAAAGAGTAGATTCCTAGACACAGATTTGAAAATCATCTTTAAAAGTTTAGTAAAATAACTCAAAGGCAACCTAAATGAACTGTTGTTACTTATATCTGAAATTTATGCAACTATTTTATTTTTTTCCTACAACTATCACACTGCTAAATCTCTGAGTACTTTTCCATTGTAATACTATGATAACTTTCAGTATCTTACCTGATCAAAAAGGTCTGTTCCATCTGAGCCTGCTGCTTTCATTAATTCATCTTCTCCACCAGGATGATACTCCATATATGGGCTAACATTGTAAATAAACCCTGTGTCAAAGCAAGGAGAAATAATATCCTAAATGAACTTCTTAAAACTTGTACAAATTACAAATATAAGTTCCAATAAATCTTTCAAAATACATCCTATTTATTATGCTCAAGTACTAAGAATATAAAGGGTCTGAGATTTCACCATACTTAGAAGCTAGTAAGTTAGCCTGAAATTTCATGGGTCCTATAAGAAAACATGAGACTACTAGGTCATAGACATAGGACAGTTTAATACTCACATCACCACCTGCAGCTAGAATAGCAGCATGTGCACAGTCCCCTAAACCCCAATTGCCAATTCCCCTCTTCTATGTGAAGAGGGCCAGATAACACCTGTATACTCAATGTGTTGCAGAACAGGAAAGAAACTCTGAGCTTAGGAAACTTGAATCTTTGTAATGAATGGGCAGTAAGTGTGCCTGCCCTTTGTTCTGGAGGGAGACAATACTATACTTAGCAGTAAGCAAACATGTTAGAGGAAGACACTGACTCTACTACTATTCAAGGTTGTTAGCCATGCAAACATCCCTGAAAAGACTGTCCAGAGCAAAGACAGTCATGCCTCTGCTTTCAAGATCTCTCTTCCCTCTCCTCTCCCTTCTCTGTCCCCTTCTCCCCCCTCTCTCTTCTCTCTCTCCCTCCCTCATATTTCCACTATATCATCTTCTACTGCCCTGGTTGAAGAATCTGATGAAAAAAAGAATTGAACTCTCATCCACGTGTCTGATCATCTCAGGAAAGGCAGAGCAATGTGACCAGGCCACTTAGGCATGCTCTATGAAAGCAAGTATAATTCTTTTCTGCAGCTGCCCAAGGAACAAAGATTCTTTTCTTGTTTAGAACTTAATAATACTTTATCTTCCCAAAATATTCATTTCATCTAGTCATATCTTTAACTATAGTTTTATCTTTTCAGAAAAAGGAATAGGAAACAACAAATAGAGACCAGCTCAATTAATAGCCTTACCAGGGAAGTGAGTTGCTTTTTAATCCTTTACGTGAAAACCAGATACAATAATAGGCAAATCCAGCCCTATAGACACCTAACAAGTGCAATGAGAACAACTGGTTTTCTTATATCTAGGACTTGTCCCTCCTATATGATGACTCTGGAATTTAAATAACCCTGGATAACTTAAAATGTTCATTCTATATAATAATCTTGGAAGAAAAGAAAAATTTGGATTTCAGACCCAAGAAAATAACTACAGTTTTTCTACCAATTTAATTTTAGAAAATAACTAACCAGTCAGGATGTCTTCATAGAATTGCTCAAATGCAATTTAGGCAACAAAAAGAAGTAAATTCGCAAAATCTCCCAGCAGTCCTCAAAATAAGTCAAAAAAATAAAAAGAACTGGTGGAGTCCTTCCTTTCTCCTGCTGTCCACCTTTCCAAAATCCACAGACCACAAATGTTGGAGGTAAGGATTAGGATCAAGATTATTCCCAACAGACTTTTTAAAACAGAGAACCCCCTTCCAAACAAAAGAATTCTGAACGTTCTCTGCCACCAAACCTTGACTAGAGTTCGAGTTCTCAGGAACATGGTATCTGCAACACATGATCATCTAACCTTCTGGGACAGAGTTTCATGTGCTTCAGCAACCAGCAGGAGGATAAACAGGTAGCTTTACTATCTACCAATGATTAGCATATAAAGGCTGCAATCAACAGACTTTTTAAAACAGAGAACCCCCTTCCAAACAAAAGAATTCTGAACGTTCTCTGCCACCAAACCTTGACTAGAGTTCGAGTTCTCAGGAACATGGTATCTGCAACACATGATCATCTAACCTTCTGGGACAGTTTCATATGCTTCAGCAACCAGCAGGAGGATAAACAGGTGGCTTTACTATCTACCAATGATTAGCATAAAAAGGCTGCAAACCGGACTATAGTTTAAAAAAAACTATGAACAAATTCCTATGCACACTGCACATATCTTATTTTGAAGTAAAAAAAACAAAACGGGAACAAATACACTATTTGTATTTGCATGTGGCCCGTGGGCCGTAGTTTGAGGACCCCTGCTATAAGGAATTAAGACTGTTAGATCCAACCACACCTGGCAGTGTCGGTGATTTGCTGATTATGAGTCTTAAACCCTGCTCCTTAATGCAACTGGTACATTTCCACTGGTCCAGAGGCTCTATCCTCCCTCTTAAGGTCTCCTTCCTTTTTTCCTTTTCAAAATCATTTCCGAACAAATTTCCTAACATTTCCTAAAACTTGGACCCCTGAATGTGGCAGAAGAAAAGGAACACAGAGCTTAATTTTATGCTTTTCCTCCACGCTTTATTGTACTCGACTAGTATTTGTACTACACATGGCTTTTAGACAGCCATCTCTCCTGTGCAAGCTTTTCGCTTCCTATCACCTGGTGTTTAGAAACTAATTTTGCAACTCTCTAAATTTTGCAATGACACAATTAAATTCTTCCTATAGCTCTAATGGCACAGGTGTGGCAGATATGCACAACAATATAAATAAATAGTATTTATGGACCCATCAAATTGGAACATCTCAATTTGGTGTTAAGCTATCAATTCAGCAAAACCCAAATCCTAATAATGACATTAAGAACAAAAACAGGCAGAAATAGATTCGTGAAACATCATGAATGGTGCTTTTAGGTCCATTTATACGGGACCTTTAGTAGCAGAGGGAGATTTAGGGAGTCAGTCTATTGTCTGTCTATCTGTCTATCTAGCTATCTCCTCTTTGCTAATACTTCATTTTGTTTTATATTTTGTTTTTTAGACTTTAACCAGGAGTAGATCCAATAAAAGGACTGACTAACTAATGCTAAAAAGAGCAACTTAGTTTCACCAAACAATAAATTTATACAATGTTATTTTCAATTACATACCAATGAAACTAGGAAAAATGGTATTTTTTTAAAAGGAGGAAGAAGGAGGAGGAGGAGGAGGAAGGAGAGGGGGAGGGGAAGGAGGAGAAAGAGAGGGTGGTATTTTTTTAAAAGGAGGAAGAAGGAGGAGGAGGAAGAAGAGGAAGGAGAGGGGGAGGGGGAGGAGGAGAAAGAGAGATTATCTGTCTATCTAGCTATCTCCTCTTTGCTAATACTTTATTTTGTTTTATATTTTGTTTTTTAAACTTTAACCAGGAGTAGATCCAGTAAAAGGACTGACTAATGCTAAGAAGAGCAACTTAGTTTCACCAAACAATAAATTCATACAATGTTATTTTCAATTACATCTCAATGAAACTAGGAAAAATGGTATTTTTTTAAAAGGAGGAAGAAGGAGGAGGAGGAGGAGGAAGGAGAGGGGGAGGGGAAGGAGGAGAAAGAGAGGGGAAGAAGGGGCAGCAGCAACTTATTAAAGTTAAAATACAACAGTTCTGTTAGGAACATATACTCTAGTGTTTAAATACATAATTTTTAAATGCCCTAGCAATCAATATTCAGGGGTACATTTAATACTAATTCATCCTAGCAGAGGTGCTATGCAACTGAAAACATACATTCAGAACAATCACTATACTGAGTTCTTTAGGCAATGCACTAGTAGTACCTGTTTTAATAGTTTCACACTAAATTATCTCTTTTGTATTATATGTCTGAAACTTTGAGCTGTCAAATAAATTCTTAGAATAAAAATTACCCACTTTAAAATTACCACTCAGTGCTTTGTATAGTCAGAAACTTACACTGCCAATTCAATCACAGAATGATAGTCTTAAGTCTGACCTCTCATTCAGTACAGGATTCACCTCTACAGAATCTATAGATAGACTGTCATCTAGAATCTGCTTCAACAGTACCGGTGTCTAGGAGCTCAAGCTCACTGTTTGTTTAAAAACCTAGTTAAGGATCAATATTGCTTTTATGCCTGAAAACTAAAGTCGCTATTTTACATAGAAAGAGCTCTTTTCCATCTTGGCAGCTGCTGCCTCTAGTTTTTCACATATACTTTTTATATTTGTTGTAATTTAAATCCCAACTGCTACTGATAAAGACCACAGGCATCTTACAATAAAATACTTACATTTGTGTGCAAAATTTAAAGAACCCACACCAAAACATGTAAAAGAAAAGAAAATACACTAGTCGCTTAACCTAGTTAACAATGTTACTATGATTGTTAGTAGTCCTGAACTTTCTAGCAGCCAAAGCCAAGAGATACTAGTAACAGTGGTCTCATTATCCAATCTTAAAAAGCATTACAAGGAGCCAAGCAAACAAACCACAAAAAAAGAGAGATTCATTATTTCTTTAAAAGACAGAAACTCCCTTTGAGCATTTGCTATTGATGAAGAATTATGAGTCCCTATGTAGGGGCCATTGACCACAACAGAGAGTACAACTGTTATGCAGAAACATTCTTCATTTAGCATCCCTCCCACCTTTCCCAGCCCTAGGTAACTGCAAATGTACTTTCTCCCTCTTCAGATTGCATATTTTGGGCATTTTGTACAAATGGAAACATATAGTATGTGGTCTTTTGTGTTTGCCTTCTTTTACTCAGTATAATATTTTCAAAGTTAATCCATGTTTTGCATGTATCAATACTTCATTTCTTTTAATGGCTGAATAACATTTCATGGATGGACATGCCACATTTTGTTTATTCATTCATCAGTTCATGAACATCTACACTGTTTCCACTTTGGGGCTATCCTATATAATAAAAGCCTAATATGCTAAGTGTCTGGTCGACCGGTCGGCCATTCAACCTATCAAAGCGTAATATGCTAATGATATGCTAAGGCCATTCAACTGCTCGCTATGATGCTTCGACCAGTAGGCTAGCTTGCTATTGGGGTCCGGCTGATCAGGACTGAGCGAGACAGGCTGGACATGCCCTGGAGCCCTCCCGTGGTCCCTCCCTGGCTGGCTAAGCTCCCGCATCCCTCCCCCGCCCCGATTATGCACCGGTGGGGTCCCTCGGCCTGGCCTGCACCCTCTCGCAATCCAGGACCCCTCGGAGAATGTCAGAGAGCTGGTTTCGGCCGGATCCCACAGGTCAGGCCGAGG